TTGTTTGTTCTACTTAATTCAAGATCTCTACAATCACAGAGATTTCTAATTTAAAGAGTGTTCTTTCAAAAGATAGTGTCCTGTAATCAGAATGATTTTTAAAACACTGAACCTAGTAATACTAATCACTGTTAAGTCTGTTTCCCTTTGATTATATTATGTATCAATTCTTCACAAATGATTATTATTTTCTGTCTGCTAACAGAAGATTTAATTCAGCCTTCAGAAAGTTCTCCAAAAATTTGGATTAATGGCTATATATCTTGTTTATCTTTTTTTTTTTTTTGGTGGGATCCAACATTCACCTGTTAATGGTTGTTCAGCAGGAAGTTGCAATTCTGGAGTTCTCACAGGAGAAGATGAGTGCACATCCTTTTACTCCACCATGCAATATCACAGTAATCCAAGTCTATGCCCTAACCTCCAATGCCAAAGAAGCTGAAACTGAATGGTTCTATGATGACCTACAAGACTTTCTGGAACTAACACCCAAAAAAGATGTCCTTTTTACATAGGAGACTGGAATGCAAAAGTAGGAAGTCAAGAGATACCAGGAGTAACAGACAAGTTTGACCTTGGAGTACAAAATGAAGCAGGGCAAAAGCTAACAGAGGTTTGCCAAGAGAATGCATTGGTCATAGCAAACACCCTCTTCCAACAACACAAGAGACTGCTCTACACATGGACATCACCAGATGGTCAATACCAATTTCAGATTGATTATATTCTTTGCAGCCAAAGATGGAGAAGCTCTACACAGTCAGCAAAAACAAGACCGGGAGCTGACTGTGGCTCAGATCATGAACTCATATTGCCAAATTGAGACTTAAATTGAAGAAAGTAGGGAAAACCACTAGACCATTCAGGCATGATTTAAATCAAATCCCTTAATTTGTCAGTGGAAGTGACAGGGAGATTCAAGGGATTAGAACTGATAGACTGATAGACGGAGTGCCTAAAGAACTATGGTCGGAGGTATACATTGTAAGGTCCTGACAGGACCTTGTACAGGAGGCAGTGATCACAAGCATTCTCAAGAAAAACAAATGCAAAAATGCTAAATGGTTGTCTGAGGAGGGCTTAAAATAGGTGAGAAAAGAAGGGAAGCAAAAGACAAAAGAGAAAAGGATCGGGTGGAGAGGGAGGTGGGAGGGGGGATCGGGATGGGTAATATATGTATATCCATGGCTGATTCATGTCAATGTATGACAAAAACCACTACAATATTGTAAAGTAATTAGCCTCCAACTAATAAAAAATTTAAAAATAAAACAAAAAAAAATAAAAATAAGGGTTATTTTTACGTCAATTTTGAATTTTTTTTCTGCCAGTGGATGCAGAATCCAAAACTGCATTCTCTCAGTATCCTAAACCCTTTAGTCGGCATTGTTGAGTTATGAAAACCATAACCAAATAGCTGCATGAGGGTATGGCAGTCCAGGCCATATTGGAGAGTGAAAGTAAACTCCAGCATGGTCCAGGCACCTGCTCTGTAGTTCAGTTTATTGTACTGGCTTATATGATCCAATCCTAGCAGTCCTCCTCTGTGTGTGTGTGTGTGTGTGTGTGTGTGTGTGTGTGTGTGTGTGTGTGT